TATTTCAATTTCATCATTTTGGTTCTTAAAGTATTTAATATGTTTTTATATAATCCCTCAAGCAGACAGTGTCCAGATTGCAAACGATTTTTTTCATAAACTTATCACATGATACTTAAATATGGACAAAAAAATAATTTGGATAACTCTTGACCAAATTTTTACTCAAATTTTAGTTAAATACTTACCTAAATTACACAGTTTTAGTCATGACCTATCTAAATTTTTGTCAAAAGCTACCCTTATTACACATTATTTTGTCAAGAGCTGCCCAAATTTTATTTAAAAGCTATCAAAATTATTTTTTTGTCCATATTTAGCTATTATGTAACAAATTTATGATAAAAATTGTTAGTAATCTGAATGTTGTCTGTTTCAAGGATCAAATAGAAACATATTCAATACTTTGTAGACCAAAATAATGCAATTGAAACATTGGAGACCAAAATGAGACAAATCTCATACTTTGAAAACCTCTAATACAATTAACCCTTTAATTATAAAATGAGGTTAAAGAATTGTGTATTTTTTTTTAGTAGACTTTTAGAAAATTCCAATTGATTGATCTTTCGAATGTCTTGACCATATAGGGAGATGGACCCTATCTCTATCTTTCATTAATAAGGGAGGCTATCTCATTGGTGGTAGTTCTAATTATCAACTTGACCTTCATAGAGGCATTGGAATTGAGATTTAATGAATTGTGTGACCTCTGTTTATCTCATTGTTGTTTGGTTCAATATTAAATAAAATTTAGTCATAACACATTACATTCTCAAATTAAGTCACTAATTATATACATGTATTATTGTGAAAATAGATGGTATATATTATGAAACAAACACTAATAGTATTGAAATATAATTTAAGAAATTAATGTATTGTAATCATATGATTGATTTTGAATTAATTCAATGCTAGGATCATATTAATAATCTAATGACCATAGTCGTTACCCATCCAAATTATATCTTAATAGCATTGCTATATAACATTGCAAGACTTTTATGAGTGTTACTCTTAATTTTTTTTAATAAAATTACGAACATGATTTATTTGGATAGACAAAAGGGTGAGACTATTTCTACCCCATAAATATATTTTCTCATATCATTTAATTATCTTATTTCAAATTACTAAATTTACTCTATCTATACTCACTCCATTAGTTGCTAAGTTTACCTCACTTATACTCATTTAATTAAACTATTAAATATATGTCAAAGAAACCAAAACAAAATAGTAATTAAAACGAAATTCAATGTTTCGAGGTTATCTATATTATTTTGAGGTATTTTGAAATATTTTCACTATGTCTTTAGAATATTTTGTGTTATAAGATATGTTGAATAATATTTTAAAAATAATTTAATTTTTTGTTAATTTTTATTATGCTTTTGAAATATTTTCGTATCAAAATAATATATCAAAACAAAAATATTGATCATTATCTATATAATAGGTTGAAATAAAATTGAATGAATTTAATTTTTAATTAATAAATATAGACGAGATGAATTTAGTAACTAATGAGGTAGGTATAGATGGGGTAAACTTAATAGTTTGAATTAAGATGATTAATCCCCACCTTATACTCCCTCCGTTCTTCAATATCTATCGTTTAAGGTTTTTACACAGATATTAAGGAAGTTATTAAATAGCTTTAATATAGGTAAAAAATAATTACACAAGACTAAAATACCCTTATTTAATACTATTGAGAAAGAAATGAATATAAAAGACACTTAGCCTCTGCCTAATCTAATGAATTGAAAAGTTAAGGGTAAATTTGGAATAAAGAATATTAATTATGCTTTAGTTTCATTAAACGACAGATATTATGGAACAAAAAAAATTGTATAAAACGACAGATATTTAGGAACGGAGGAAGTACAAAAATGACAATTAAAAAAATAAAAAATGAAGGCCATAAACCTAAACAATTGTTTCACTAGGTTAGGTCTAAGGTCGGGCCTAAAGGATGGAAGAATTTAGACCATTGAATTATCCTTTAACAACTCGTCGAGTTAAACAGATGAAGGGTAAAAAACATGTAAACTCATACACGACACGTTTAATAAATGATTGAAAAATCTCAACACGAACCCGATCCGTTTAATAAACGGGTAACACGACACAATTCGTTTAATCCGTTTAATTTAAAAAAAATTATATCAACAAATTTTAATACACCAATTTTTTTACTGCTAATTGTATTTACCTTAAAAAAGAAGAATTTCTAACCAAATTTCACAAAAAAATCAGATTTGAAGGCTAAAAAAAAAGGCAAAAGACCACTGCCTTTTATAGGCAAAACAACCCTCCCTATCTCCCCTCATTTGTCGATGTGGGACAAAACCAAAAAAGGTTGGTTTACCTTTATCATGAACTGCTCCCAACTCCTCTTTTTTGTTTTTGAACTATTACTTTACTTTTTTTTTGTATTGCTTTTTTTACTTTTTTTCTAGCTAACTTTTTAAAATAATTATTAACTTATTATTATATTAATTTTATTTAAACAGGTAAACGTGTGATAAACGGTTTGACAGGTCTCACCTGAACACAACCCGTTTATGAAACGTGTCTGGCGGATTAACCCGTTTACCACCCAAACCCATTAAGATCTCACTCAAATCTGCTTAATTATTGTCAATTCGTATCGATTAATCGTGTCGTGTCAAATTTTGACAGGTCTACGTAGAATACAATTAGCTTACGAACCGACTGAGATACGTACTATACTAATGATTTGAATTTTGAAACAATTCCTCACGAACTTGGGTCGTCAATTGAATCATAATAATTTTTAATAATTCACAATAAGAGGCCTAGTAAGTAACACTTATTTGGGTATTTGAATTTTGCCACATTATTAGACTGTATAGTTGGTCCCAACTTTAGTCAATTTATTTATTTACTAGTTATTGTCTGTGCCTAAAGGCACAGAGTAATAAAAAATGATAAACAATAAAAATATTTGTATTAATATCCAAAATTAAATCACAAATATAGAGAAGAGATAAAATAATTTAAGCATCAGTTTGTAAAAGTAAGAGGTGGTGGGCGGCAGTGGTGGTGGTAGGAGACAGTGATGATGGTGGTGGGTGACAATGATCGTGGTGGCATTGAGGGCGGCAGCGGTGGCGGTAGTGGGCGTGGTGGTGAAGGCAGCGGCGATGGTAGTGGTGGTAGTCGCGACGGTGGCAGCAACGACGGTGACAGTGGTGGTGGTGGTAAGACAATTTCAAACATTATTTTTAAAAAATATATATTTATGAGATAATTTTTAAAAGTATTTTTAAAAAATTACTTCAAACACAATCTTCAAGGTCATATTTTTCCTATTAAATTTAGAGTATTAATATTAATCGTTAGATTAACTTTAAAGTAAAATTTAAAGCGATCTGAATTGCGAATAGCAAAAGTCATTTTGTTTATCTTTTAAAATTTGAATTGTAAGCTATTTTATTATATAATTTTTTAAAATAAAATCAACTAAAATGAAAAAATTAAATAAAGTCAGCTAAAAAAGTTTAGGTATTGTCATTCTATCTTGATTAGACTGGTGAGAGATGAGTTCAAGTTATTAATAACGAGTTCTAAATTCAGACTTTAGAATTCGAATCTTAATAATTTTCTAAAGTCTTAAATGCTTTAAATGTATTAGAGAGAGAGAAAAAGCATTAAATACTTCATTGGCTAACATCCGTCGAAAGTTTCTCTCCCCCACTTTCTCCGGTTACTATGCCCCATAAGCCCATGGTCTGTACCAGTGCCGGAGATTCAATTAACGGACGAGTACTAAGCTCACATTTTGTTGTTTCTCGAATTGAACTATGTCGTTGTTGTTCGTTTTTAGAAGTTTCTTCGACTCTGTGAGGTAGCTCGGGGCTCTAATCGGCTCTTCTAAAAGAAATTTCAAAGGTATTTACCTTGTAAAGATCTATACTTTGGCTCAGTCTCGTTTTCGTTGTTTTTTCTCTTTCTCTTTCTTTTGATTTCTAGGGTTTTTCATAGCTATTGTGGCTGTTTTGTTATGTTTTATTGTAGGCTTCTGAGATTCGGTCACATTTTCTGTGGCAGCTAATTCTAGGCGTTAGAGCCAAAGGCGATATATATATACATGTATGCTGATATAGTTGTGCATAATATGTATACTTTATGGTTTTTAGGCCATGTTGGTGATGATGCACAACACTAGTCTCGTGCAAGATCAACAGTCAAGTACATAAACGAGTGTAATTAATGATGTAATTAATGAGCAGTAAATAAGAGCAAACACATAGAGATTTATAATGGTTCAGTCCAAGTGACCTACTTCACTTTTGGTAACGACACCGGTGACCGGAGATCTTTATTGATGAATAATGTAACCGGGAGAGTACACTCCGGGAGAATGACAATAGTTAGGAGAAAGAAGCAATGTGTGTAGGGATCTCAAATTGTAGACGTCTCAAGGTCATGTCCTCTATGTGGAGAGGACTTATTTTTTGGTAAGTACAATTAAGTTAGGATTAGATCTCTAAGAAGGGAGAGCGTGGAATGAAGGGAGAGCCAAGAAGGTCCCCATGGGTGGCGCACCAGGGGCTTGGGCGGCGCCCCTTTGGGCACTGGTGGCTTGGACTTTATTAATCCATTGGGCTTGGCCCTGTTGATTTCAGACTCATCAGTTGGTATACAGTGAAATTTCGATTTGAGGGCTGGAAAAAGTTCAAAATTAGTGATCAGTGCAGTTGAAGTTGGTAGGTTGTCCCTTTAGTTCGGTTCGCCTGTATTTTCACCTGGATTGGTCTATCTTAATCGAGTTTGTTGCTTAACCAACCGTATGAAGTCCTTTGCAAAATTATAGTCATGAAACTCTCTCACTTCTCTCTAGAACAGGAGCCTTTGTTCCACAGTTCCATCATGATTGGAGCTATTTAGACTCCATTACTATTTGCTTTCACTTAGATACATTCACTTATATACTCTATATTTCGTTTGCTTTTCTGGGTTTTAAGCTTTTATATGGAAGCATAAGAACGGCATTTGAGGATTGGAAATATGAAAAGGCTGTTCGGCCTTTAGCTTTGTTATTCTTAGCTCCGATTTTGGTGAGATCTTTGAATCCTTCTTTGAATGATGATTTTCTGGGGTTGATTGTGTTCAAAGCTGACATTCAAGATCCAGAAGGAAGATTGGTGTCTTGGAATGAAGATGATGATAGTCCTTGTAATTGGAATGGAGTCAAATGCAATCCAAGATCCAACAGGTCTTCGATGTTGTCCCCGATGGGTTCTCACTATCGGGAAAAATAGGCCAAGGTCTCCTCCAACTGCACTTTCTCCGAAAGCTTTCCCTTGCTAAGAACAATCTTACAGGAAGCATAAGCCTCTGTCTTGCACAACTCACAAACCTAAGGGTCATAGACTTGAGTGAGAACAGTCTATCTGGAACTGTCCCGGATGACTTTTTCACACAATGTGGGTCATTAAGGTCTATATCTTTGGCCAATAACAAATTTTCCGGCCAAATTTCAGAGAATTTGAGCTCATGTCCAACCCTTGCTTCAGTTAACTTTTCCTCCAATCAGTTTCCGGGTTTGTTGCCTTCTGGGATCTGGTCTTCACATGGTCTTAGATCGCTTGATTTGTTTGATAATTTGCTAGAGGGTGAGATGTCCAAGGGCCTTGAAGGTTCAAACAACTTGAGAACAATAAGTTTGAGGAAAAACCAGTTTACGGGTCAGATTTTGGTTGGGATTGGAGGGTGTTTGCTGTTGAGATCAGTTGATTTGAGTGAGAATTTACTTTCTGGGAGCCTTCCCAATACCATGCAGAAGCTTACATTGTGTAATGATCTAAATTTGCAAAAAAATTTGTTTATGAGTGAAGTTCCTCAATGGATTGGAGAAATGAGAAGCCTAGAGACTCTGGATTTTGTTTTGAAATAGCTTCTCCGGCCAGTTTCCAAATTCAATTGGGAAGCTTCAGTCCTTGAAGGCACTAAACATTTCCATGAATGCTTTTACTGGAAGCTTGCCAGAATCTATGATCAATTGCGAAAACCTACTCCCTTTGGATGCAAGTTAGAATTTGTTGACTGGTAATGTTCCTTCTTAGCTATTTAAATTGGGTTTACAGAAAGTTCTGTTTTCTGTTTTCAAAAGTTATGATCAAAATACTGAAGACGTGTCAAATTCTTATTTTTTAGGAATTTTTCTAGTCTAACTTTAAATGAGTTTTTTTTTAATTTGGACTCTTATAAGGATTAAATTGCTACCTTATCTTCAAATCTTCTTATCTTACTCATGATTCTTCAATCTTTATCAATTGTGATTTTTCCTCTAGTGATTGTTTTACTTGTCGTATCCATTATTACTTTAAATTAACCAATTTACCTGTAAAATAAACCAAATAACTAAAAAAATTATCAAACTAAGGAATTTAGCACATTTAAGCACAATTAATATGTAATTAATTAATCATTAAAAATAAAATAACAATTTTGATGATTAATTAAGGGTGCAGAGCTACCTAAAATCCCGTCAATAACTAATTTTTTATTTATCCATAAATGCACGTCTAATTGGACTCTAAGCTATTGCCCCAATCACATTTTGTCCCACTATTGTGGAATTTCTCAAATATTCACTCTATTCTGGAATGTGTCATAGGTTTCACCCGAAATTTTTCAAATTTTGTTCATGATTTTTATGCAAGCAATTTATTCCCATTAATTTGGTTATGCTAATAGATTCTAATCATCGTTCTAAATAACTTTTAAAAAAACCTTGGATTATTTATTTTGGGTGAGGGGACTTGAGAAGCCTAACATCCCCGGGTGTCTCATTTCTAAAATATTTAATTACTTCCATTCAATCAAATTATTTTATTCAATTATTATATCCATATTACTCCAGTTATCTTTTTAAACTATTTCAAATTTAACTTTTCACTCAATTTTTTTTCACAAAATTTATTAATGAATAATTCTCCAGTAATATAAAACACCTCGCTAATAATTGACATTTAACTCTTGTAGATCCCGGTAGTAGTGTTAAAGATGGAATGAGATTAAAAAATAATAATATTATTTGAATCTAATTTATTTATTTATTTGTTAACTTAATTACTCATAATCTATTTGGGTTTTTATTTTGTCTAGGACTATGTTTTATTTGGGCTTTATTCTATTTAGGTTCTTGTTTTATTTGAGCTTTCTTTGTTTGGACCTATGAATTTGGTGATCAGTCTAATTTAATTTAAATTTTTATTTAATTTTAATTCAGACTCTAATTATACACAGTACTGTTTTTTAATGTCTACACGGTCTTGATTTGTGATACGCCTGTTTTACGTTGAATTCACGCCAAAGACTTCTTCTATATTACTTAAATAACACTTCTCTATCACCGGAAAATACCACCAAGTAAAATTGAGACCGAGTTCTTAAAGAGAAAATATTCATTACAACATTGATACCACGGCAATGCTGTAGATGAAAAAAAAAACCTAGAGCAAAATGGAAATTCTAATCTGCAAACTGCCAATTTCATTGTGAATCCATCTGTAACAGATGGCAGAAACAAAAACACAACAACAGCAAGAAACTATAGGAGAAAAGGGGCAAGATGAAGAGCCCATAAGCCAGCAACTGTGACGTTGGAGTACAAGTAATATCAAACAACTCCATCCACTTACCTCATCCATATGATACGTTTCTGTGTCTTCTTCAGGCAATGCTGTTCATGACCTCCTCAATCAATCTTCCTATTGTATTGTACGATGACCCACCCTCCGCCACGGCCACCCTACTTTTCTCTCTCATCTCCCTCACCTTCTTACTAATTTCACTCTCACCACCCATCATCAATCGATTTATTCCACCCTCTATTAGATCGGCGCTCAAGATTTCTGGCTTCTTATCCTCATCACCATGTAAGCTACTGAAATAGTCCATCTTAATCTCCACCGCCAGTTCCAGCTCCGTCACCATCTCGAACGCATTCATCTGCTGCTCTGCGTACAGTGGCCAAGTCGCCATGGGAACGCCGCACCACACGCTCTCCAGCGTCGAATTCCACCCGCAGTGAGACACGAAGCCTCCGGTCGCCGGATGGGATAGCACCGCCACTTGTGGGGCCCATCCGATCACTCTCCCCACTTCGGCCGTACGTTCTAGGAACCCTTCCGGCAGGACTTCGCCTGGATTTTCATAGTCGCTTGGAAACTGAATCTTCTCCTTCGGCGGAGGTCGCCGGAGCGACCACAAGAACCGGTGTCTACTGTTCTCGAGGGCTTGAGCTATCTCCTTCACCTGGTCCTCTTCGAAGCATCCCATGCTGCCGAAGCACAGGAACACAACTGATGATGGAGGCTGGTGGTCCAACCACTCCATGATTGGTTTTGATTGTTTCGTGCGAATATCATCACCACCATCACTGAGGTTGAGAATGGGCCCCACCGGAAAGATTGGTGGGGTCTTGTCGCCGTTCAAGACGGACTCAACCGCATTCGATTCCAGCTCCATGAATGTATTGACCATAATGCCCTTTGTATTTCTCAGCCTTCTGGCGTGAGTTAGCAACATGGTGGACCCACCTGCTTTATCAACCACCACAGAAGGCAAAACCCTAGCCGGAACTGGGTTTGTGAAAGATGGTATTCTCAACTCGGTTTCCGTGTTGTTCAACTCAGTAATATCCTGGTGGTGATCGTCACTGAGAGATTGAAGATGGAGCATCAGGCCAAGAAAGGCGGCACCCGACGTGAAAAAAGCGTAGGTTGGAACCCCAAACTCGTTCGCCACATCGATCATGGCGGTGCAGAACATGTCGACGATGAACCCGGCGAGTCTAGAAGAGGAGTCGGAGCGAGTGAGTTCAGCGACTACGTCTCTCACAGGAGCCTTGTGACTGTCGACGAAGTTTGTGAAGAAGGTGTTGGTGGACTTGGACTTGGAGGAAGGGACCTGTGGCTGTGAAGCTGAGTCGCCTTGAGGGAGGTGGAGGTCCACGAAGCGTAACCGTGGGGTAGCGGTGGCAGAGAGTGAATTGATGTAGCCGTTGACGCCCGAGTCAATGGGAAGTTTCATGATGAGGACGGTGATGGACAGCCGATGATCTCGATCAAGGAGGAGTTTGGCGATCTCCACCGTCGATATCAGGTGGCCCACTATCGGAGATGGTATGAACACTAATTCTGCGTTCTGCATCTCTGTTGAGTGTTCCGACTATGGAGTCTATTGATTTTGTTATAGTCTCCATGCAAGCTTAAGTTTTTCTTTATAGGGGTATCAATGAATCGTAAACTTTTAGAAAGCTGGTCAGATACCTCAGTCAAAGGAGATTATCAACCAAAGTATGTGGAAAATCACTACTACGTGGTTTATATTTAAATGCTAGTCATTAATATAAAATGCTAGTCATTAACCGCGGCCGAAGGCATTATAGAACAATCAATTTTTTTTTAAACAACTTGCCAAATTCAAAAGAAATGACCTAACAATATTCATACAAATTCTTCTTTTAAAATGACTCAAAATATATTATCGATTATATCCTCTATATTAATGAAAACTGTCATAAAAATATATAAAAATTCTCTAAAATAACATCATATATATAAATGCCTAAAAAGAAAAAAAATACTAACATAATCTATTAAAATTTATAATTTTTAAGTAATAAATTAAATAAATAAAATTTTACTTATTTATAAGACTCACGAATTATCACCTCTACTACCACTTCTTCCGATAACACAACATAATTATCAACTCAACTATTATATTTCCAATCCACCCTATCTCCATGTAATATTAACAGAATACAATTAAATTCACAATCTTTAAACGGTAAATAAAATTAACCAAATTTTTCTCATTTATAAACTCTTGAATTTATCATCACTATCACCATTCAATCCCAAATGACACAATATAATTATAAATTTAATCACTAAATGTTCAATCCTCCACATGCAAATATACAAAAAAACACACTCACGCATTTCTTTTTTGGCTACCAAGAAACCCTCATAACCAATAATTGTTTTTATTAGAAATACAATAATTTAAATTTTTAAGGTAAAATAATAATATATTAATGTTTAATTAAAAAATAGGAAAAAAAACTAAAAATCATGGATATTCCCTGAATTTTGAAACTATTACATGAACACCTCATGATATTTTTTAAATAACACGAAGACCCCTCTGTCTCCCTTTCGTCAATGTTGCAAACGAAAACTAATAATTTTATCGTAAAAATTTTTATTATTTTTACATTTTTCCTTCTCCAAATTTACCAAAAAAAATTAAAAATATAATAAAATAAAATAAATTTTGATTTAAGACTCAAAAAATTGATATAATTTAGTACTCCAAAAAATTGTTTAAATAAATTTTAATATTAATTTGATATTCAATAAACTTGAATATAAATTAGAGAAAATTAAGTCTCAATTTTTTATAAAAATATATACTAATTTACAATTTAAGGTTCATTTTATGTTAAATATTATTTGGTGTTTATATTCAATATACTATTTTTTATTTACATTTAGTGTTATTTACAAATTAAAAAATAAGTGACAAAATATATATGATCAAATATATAAAAATTTTAAATTAATTTCAAAGAATAAATAATTTGATGACACGTAGTTTCATATGTTTTATAGAGTAAATAATAGCAAAAATAACACAAAAGAAAAAAAAAAGATAATAGTATGAGAGAGAGAGAGTGTAAGATAGATAGATAGATAAAGAGAATTATATGAGAGACTTAAAGTTGTAAAAAGAATAAAAGTCTACTTAGGACCTTCAGATCAAAACGATCTGAGCCGCAAAAAATTAAAGACAAATAATCTAGCTACTTTATTATACATATAGAGAGAGAGAGAGAAGATGAGATAGTGTGTTTAAAACGTCTAAGAGGAGAGAGAGAGA